AATGCTCAATATCACTAATCATCAGTCCTCTAATTAGGGCATTCCTGGAGGTGTCCCTTTATTCACTATAAAGCGTACGCACTTCCTGCCCGACATCGCGTGTCATCTGAATACGAATGATGGTGGCTGACTCCCTTGTTACAGGAAGCTCTGGATTAACAGCCTCCGCTTTTCTCATTGTATTGTCTTTATTTCCAGTTATCACCATCTGATCATTAGCAGGTGGATTTTTACTTGAAGCGTGAACCTGTGGATGCACAGATAGGGTAAAGGTATTCTGATGGAGTTAAGTACAGCCTGAGGAAGTCAGCACATTCAGGGTCAGGCTAAGGGAAGTTTTAGTAGTGTTGTTTACTGTATTGTGGAGTGAGAAATATGCATTTGTGGCAGATTGTGGAAGCCTTTAAATATCAGGCCTCCATTCTGTGAATGGTGGGAGAATAATGACAATCAAATGCACTACCTCAGTTGCGTGTGTAAATGTGGCAAGCTGGATTATTGCAGAAGGCAGATTGAAAGGGTGTTTCCCCTATCTCTGCTTCATCTGGCAGAGACTGGAATACCTATGACTTTGGGGAGTTCTAGAGACCAAGTATTTCTTTTCTATCAGTATCAAATAGGCCCAGTCAGGAGACAGAAACACAGTGTAGAAAAAGTGTAATATAAAGAATTATTAGAGATACTGGGCATGGTGGCTCACACCTGTAATCCCAGCACTTTTTGGAAGCTGAGGGGGGTGGATCACCTGAGGTTGGGAGTTCAAGATCAGCCTGGCTTTTGAAACCCTGTCTCTACTAAAAATAAAAAAATCAGCCAGGCGTGGTGGCAGGTGCCTGTAATCCCAGCTACTCTGGAAGCTGAGGCAGTAGAATCGCTTAAACCTTGTGAGGCAGAGATTGCAGTGAGCTGAGATCACACCATTGCACTTCAGCCTGGGCAACAGAGGGAGACTCTGTCTCAAAAAGAGAAAAGAAATTATTAGAGAGGCGGAGCATGACAGCTCACGCCTGTAATCCCAGCACTTTGGGAGGCTGAGGTGGGCATATCACGAAGTCAGGAGTTCGAGACCAGCCTGGCCAACATGGTGAAACCCCGTCTCTACTAAAAATACAAAAATTAGGCCAGGCACGGTGGCTCACGCCTGTAATCCCAGCACTTTGAGAGGCTGAGGTGGATAGATCACAAGGTCAGGAGTTCAAGACTACCCTGACCAAGATTGTGAAACACTCTACTAAAAATACAAAAGTTAGCTGGGCATGTTGCAGTTTAGGGGTTCAGGGGAGCCCTCAGTTCCCCAGAGAGATCATTTCTCCAGGTTCTTGGTCTATCAGTCCCCGAAGAGTGGGAGAGGAGACCACGGCACAGTGTGTAGTAAATGCCAGACTCAAAAGTGTTTGTAGAAAGTGATTTATTCAGGTAAAGAAGAAAAAGGAGGAGAGAAAGAAACAGCTAACTCTCACACTGAGTGAGAGAGTCCAGACAGATGGATTCCAGGAGAGGAAAGCAGCTTCCACACTGAGTGGAAGGGAATAGAGAGAGAGAGCTGGAGGTTAGGAGGGGAAGACAGGCTTCCATGAGAGTGGAAGGGGACTCCAGAGGGGAAATCCAAGAGAAAGACAGCTGCCACAAAGGGAGTGTTCGTGGAAGGGGACCGAAACATGGAGTCTGAAGAGGTGTAGAAGAAGGGGACTTTTAACCTCGGAGGAACCCCCACCTTCTCTAAGACCCCGGGCCAATGAAAGGAGTTCCTCAGAACTTCCGCTGGAGTGATTGACTTTTGACACTTTCCTGTGCCCTGGAAAATTAAAACAGAAACCGTCAAATCTCCCGGATGGATGGAGAGAGGTATGAGGGGGGCATGGCGCTGGGAAGTTCTTGCCCTTGAAACTACGCCCCCTGGTGGACCCAGAAAGAGAACACATTCCCTCAGGCATGGCGGTGGGTAATCCCAGCTACCTGGGAGGCTGAGGCAGAGAATTGCTTGAACCTGGGAGGCAGACGTTGCAGTCAGCCGAGATCACATCACTGCACTCCAGCCTGGGTGACAGAGTGAGACTCTGTCTCCAAAAAAGAAAAAAAGAAATGCCATTGTCTCAAAAACCTCTCTCTAGGAATCTCATCCTATAACCAGGAAAGATCAACCAAGAGACGGAGTTGTCATAGACTTTTTGACTATTCTTCTGAGGATATCTCCAAGAGATTACCTGACGGGGGACTTATCTGCATAGTAAAGCAATCTTTGTTCTTGTGCAGATATGTCCCTCAGCTTCCCAGAGATGAGGGGCAGAACTCACCAAGTCCAAAGCTCATACAGTTTTCCCTACAACGGCCAGAGACAAGAGACAAGGAAAGCAATGTTTATTTTGGAGAGCCAGTGAACTGAGAAGATGGTGGAGTAATGTCCTAAGAACCATTTTAAGTTAATATGAATTTCAGCCTCCTTTCATGTTAGGGGAGGTGAAGAGGGAGCGGGCTAAAGTCATCTGGTTGTGAGGGGGATGTGAAACTCCTTTGTCCTTGATTGGGTCACAGTTTTTTGTGACAGTGTTTCACTCTGTCACCCAGGCTGGAGTGCAGTGGCACGATCTCGGCACACTGTAACCTTACTTCCCGGGCTCAGGCGCTTTTACTGCCTCAGCCTCCCAAGTAGTTGGGATTACAGGTGTGCACCACCACACTCAGCTAATTTTTGTGATTTTTTTTTTTTTGAGAGAAAGAAAGAAAGAAAAAAGGAGTGAAGGAGAGGAAGAAAGAGGAAGAAAAAGAGGGAGAGACAACGGAAATGTTGCTTTATTTTAAAAAATGAGTATTAATAATGGCCAATCAATATTTCATTTAAACCTATGAGTAGGTGTGATGTGGTATTGACAAGAATGTATATTTTGTGTATTTAAAGTGGAGAGCTCTATAAATATTTATTGTTTACTTGTTATGGATCTGAGTTCGAGTCCTGGATATCCTTATTAATTTTCTGTCTCATTGAGTCTAAGTCTCTATGTATCTGGGTTTTAGGATCCTTAGCTCTTATTGTTGCATTGATCCTTTTACCACTATATCTTTGTTGCTTTAAAATCTATTTTATCAGATGCGAGAATTGCAACTCCTGCTTTTTATTTATTTATTTTGGCTTTCCATTTGGTTGGCAAATCTTTCTCCATCCCTTTGTTTTGAGTCTTTGTGTATCCTTGCATGTGATCTGGATGTAGCATACCGTTGGGTTTTGGCTGTATCTTTTGATTGGGGGATTTAGTCGATTTAAATTTAGGATTGCTGCCATTTGATGTTAACTGGCTGTTTTATCCCTCCGTTGATGTAAATTCTTCTTTATGTTGATGCTCTTTACTTTTTGGTATTTTTTAGAAAGGCTAATACTGGTTGTTTCTTTCGATGTGTAATGTTCTTTCAGAAGCTCTTGTAAAGCAGGCCTGGTGGTAATAAAACCTCTGAGTACCTGCTTTTTGTGTTTTTTAATAGAGATGAGGTTTCACCATGTTGGTCAGGCTGGTCTTGAACTCCTCAAGTGAGCTGCCGGCTTCAGCTTCCTAAAGTGCTGGGATTACAGGCATGAGCCACTGCGTATGGCCCATTAACGACCTTAACATTGTGTCTTCAGCAAAGGAGGAATGCTTAAAGGGCCCAGCTCCATGTTCTCAGAGCAGGAAATGAGAAGTGAATGTGGAGCTGAGAGACGATACACTGACAACTGGTACAGTATCCAATACTTAAAAAAAAAAAATCAGTTGAGGCGCCGCGTGCAGTGGCTCACGCCTGTAATCTTAGGACTTTGAGAGGCCCAGACGGCTGGATCACGAGGTCAGGAGTAGGAGTTTGAGACCAGCCTGCCAACATAGTGAAATCCTGTCTCTACCAAAAAAACAAAAAATTATCCGGCTGTGGTGGCGGGCACCTGTAATCCCAGCTACTCAGGATGCTGAGGCAGGAGAATCGCTTGAACCCCGGAGGCGGAGGTTGCAGTGAGCAGAGATCACGCCACTGCACTCCAGCCTGGGCGACAGTGCGAGACTCCGAGTCAAAAAAAAATTCTGTTGAGACAAATACTGGTTCCCTTTGTTACCAGTTTACATTCTAGTTGTGCTACAAAGTCCTTACTGGCAGGTTGGTTTAGTGGCAAAATAGCAGACCTGCTGGTGACTCCAATTTGCAGTGTGTTTTTGGGCGAATATCCATTCCCGGGACCTCATGTGGAAAATTTGTAAATTATGCCAGATGACGGTAAGGTTCTGCGATTTTATTCTGATAGAGGCTGTACATCCTTGTTGTTGCATTTCTACTTTCCGAATGTGTTTGTCCAAAGCAAGGAGACTTTAGAACACAGAAATATTAGAAAAGGGATTCCCTGTGGCTCAGGAAATAAAACGGGACACAAGAAAAAAGCAAACGGCACCGCACCCAGACTCACGGCGGGACGCCCCGCCCCTCAAGGGGGCCCGCCCCCTCTCGCCCCTCCTTCGCCATCTGCCGGCCACGCCCCCTCCCGCCGGCCACCGCCCCCTTTCAGAGGCCTGAGCTCCGCCTCCCGAAACGCGAGGCAGGCTGGGAAGTCGGCCGCCGTAAAGATGGCGGCAAATTGAAAAAGTTGCAGCTGCTCCCGCGCGCGCTGTCGCGCGCGCTGAGGAGGCGGAGCGAACTGGAGGCTGGACAGGTGCGTTCTCGCGGCCCTGAAGAGGCGAGATGGGGGTAGGAGTGTTTCCGGCTCTCCCGAAGGGCGCGGGGCGGGCTGGGGGCGGGGCAAGGCAGGCGCGTTCCCGGCCGTCCTGAAGGGGCAGGATCTTCAGCCTGTGGGCGGTGCTCTCGCCGTGAGCGGGGCCAACGGGCTCCGTCCTCCCTGAAGGGGCGGGGACTTATCCCCGCGGGTCCGATTTCCTTGGGCTTGAAAGTGAAGATGAACGACAACTGTGGGCGGGGCCTGCGCTGGGGCGGGTGGGGCCTGCGCTGGGCTGGGGGCCGGCTCCCTCGGGCCCGGAAGTGCGGGTGCGGGGCGCGGCTGGGGCGGAGACTTCGGGGCCCGGCTAGCGGGCGGCGCCTGTAGCGCGGGGGCGGCGGGCCCGGGACGAGCATGTAGCTGCCGCTGGCGGCGGGGCTCCCGGGGCGGGCCGGGCGGGCCGCGGGAGCCGCACGCGGCGATATGGAAGAGGAGGGCAAGAAGGGCAAGAAGGTGAGCGTATGCGGGCGCGTCCTGCTGCGGGGGTCGGCGGGCGGCTGTGTTGGGGGCCAGGGTCGGGTGGGCGGGTGTTCCTCGGGGCCCGGGCGGGGGTGGCGAGCCCGCTGGAGGGGCGGGGCGGGGCAGGGCGAGACCCCGGACAATGGTCAGGTGGGCTTGCGCGGCCGGGCAGGCAGGAAGCGCCGCGCCTTTCCTCCGGCTCGGGCAGCGGCTCGCCCCAACCTCGGCCCCAGACGGCCTTCTCTGCGCGTCGGGACCTGGGGCTGCAGAGGAAGTGGGCCCGGCGAGGGGCCAGAAAGCTGTCCAGGGCTGGAACTGGAGCCAGTGGGCTGTGTGGTTAACGTGGAGACGTTTGCTGCTCACTGGACTTCGTTTTTGGATATCCAGTAAAAGCAAGGGTGGCCTTCACCTCATGGCCAGCTCACTCGTCCAGTATCACTCAGACCTAAAACCATTAATTGATTTTAGTGACTCTACTTTTGGCAGTGGGATTTAGGACATAGTTCAATGTTTAGGACATAGTTTAGGACATAGTTCATAGTCAAACCCCAGTTTATGTAGTTTTACAAAATGTGGCTTTAATTACAGTAAAAGGGTACAGTAGTTAATAAACATTTTAAGACTGGAAAAACGATGTAGATTGAGCTATAATTAAAGTGGAAAATGGATTTTAATAAAATTATCTTTTTCAAATAAATGCTTTCTAATCACGTCTTGGGTATCATTTTCTTTTTGATGTGTGTGTTCTCACTTTTATCCCCAAGTTTAAAGCAGACCTCGATAAGTCCTATGATTTTACTACCCTGTACTCTGTAGGGCAGTGTCCTTTAATTGACAAATACCACCTTGTTTGACAAGGTGCCCCATTTAAAAGTCCTGTTTGAAATAGAATGTAGCCAGGTGGCCTTCAGGGAGTCCTGTGGTGCTGCTTCTCTACTTTCTTAACTCATTGTTTCATGTTGGGACCATGCATGTCTAATTTAGGTGCAACATAATATAATTTGCGGTTACCTACAAAGATGTTTTAAGACTGGAAGGTAGCTCAATATAGTGAGTGATTCAGCCTGCAGGCGTTAGACTAGACAGGGGCGCTGCGCACAGAAGAGGGAGGAGCCAAGCAGAGGAAAAGGAGTTAGCTGGAAAAGAGAGGTGCAAACCCAGTGTGACTGCTTAGAAGGGACCATCACGCCCGATTGTGGATGATGCTGAGCTGTGGGAACTGAGCCATCTGTTCTACGGGATGCTGGGATCTAAGAGCGTGCTGAGGACTGATGACCTCACTGTGAATCGCTTAAAGGAGTACATGGCTCATCTACCTGTGTGTGATAGGCAAGGATGGGATTGAGTGATTTTTTTTTTTTTTCTGGAGCTGTCAGCTTTGGTAGAACACGAAACATCCAGCAATATGGAGAGAGAGAGAGAGAGAGTGAGTGAGTTTGGGGGCAATGAAAAAATATAGGCATAAACAAGGTTAGTTATTAATTTCATTGTCTCTACTAGAGGAGATAATTGTTATGTGGTTGCTTAAGCCAGGAGTTTTGTGTTTTTCTCTGTATTCCACCACTTGTCTTAGCTTGTTTTCTGTAGACAAGCCAGACAAGGAGCTTTGGGGCATGGATTCTTTTGCAGGTCATGACTTAACACACTTTACCTTGTGTACTCTGCCAATTACAAGCTGGCAGAACCTTCCTGCTCGGCTCCCACATACCGTGTGAGGCCACCTCTAGCTTAAGAATTTTGGTAGTTAAATCATTATCATTAAGGTAAATTAACCAAAAATACCTGCTGTAAACTTACACACAAATTCAGATATAAATAGCAGAAGTGATGACAATAGTTTTATGAAAGTACAATTTGGACATTTAAATTCTTCTAAGTTAGCTCCTTTAAAAAATGCAGAATTAGGCTGGGCATGGCAGCTCCTGATTGTAATCCAGCACTTTGGGAGGCTGAGGCAAGCGGAGTTTGAGACCAGCATGGGCAACAAAAAATACAGAAATTAGCCAGGTGCAGTGGTATTCACCTGTAGTCTCAGCTGCTTGGGAGGCTGAAGCAGGAGGATCACTTGAGCCCAGGTGGGCCTTTTGTTTTGTTTTGTTTTAGGTCTCAGTCACTTGTCTTGGTGTCTTGCCAAGCAGTGATTCAGGCTTGTTCTACCATGGCCCATTTTCCTCAGGATGCAGGAATCAGTGAGTTGGCAGAGAACTGATGGACTGAAGTGCGTTTCATGGAAATTTGGTCCCGGTGTAGCACTGCCCTTTCTCAAGCCACCTCGGCACATGTGGTTATGATAATTGTACACCTGGGTTTCCTCAAGTGGGCCATGTTCATTTAAAAAATGTCTGTTGAGCCCCTCTTTTGTCCTGTGAAACTCACTGGGTGATGGGGATGCAGGAAGAGCTTGTGGCCCCAGGAGGTGATGGGGAGATGGATCAGTCGTGGGTACCTCTGAAAGAATGAGTATGTTGATAGAAAAGTCCACTGGCCATTAAAGGCGTGGGCCCTGGGGAGAAGTGACCACTTGGGGCTGCCCTTCTGTCCTGATGTCTGCAGAGTGGTACTTTTTAGCCTACAAGTCCTGTTTTGGGGTTTGGAGTATAAGGTTCCTACCTACAGTATGGACATGTGTTCTGTGCACTGTGGTACAATTCTGTCAAGAAGTAATTCCTTTTCATAAGAAACTTGGATGTACACTTAAGTTGGGTTGTGTATTTTTTTTTTTTTTTTTGAGACGGAGTTGCGCTCTTGTTACCCAGGCTGGAGTGCAATGGCACGATCATCTCGGCTCACCGCAACCTCCGCCTCCTGGGTTCAGGCAATTCTCCTGCCTCAGCCTCCTGAGTGGCTGGGATTACAGGCACATGCTACCATGCCCAGCTAATTTTTTTGTATTTTTAGTAGAGATGGGGTTTCACCATGTTGACCAGGATGGTCTCGATCTCGACCTCGTGATCCACCTGCCTCGGCCTCCCAAAGTGCTGGGATTACAGGTGTGAGCCACCGCGCCCGGCCATGCGTGTATTTTTATACTCAGATCACAGTCTGAAAAAGCCATCTTGTCAGAGCTGGGCGTGCTGGCTTAAGCCTGTGATCCTAGCACTTTGGGAGGCCGAGGCGGGAGGATCACTTGAAGCTAAAAGTTCAAGACCAGCCTGGCCAACATGGTGAGACTCCATCTCTACTAAAAATACAAAAATTAGCTAAGTGTGGTGGCATGTGACTATAGTCCCAGCTACTCAGGAGGCTGAGGCAGGAGAATCGCTTGAACCCAGGAGGCAGAGGTTGCAGTGGGTTGAGATGCCACTGCACTCCAGCCTGGGCAGCAGGGTAAGACTCTGTCTCTCCCCCCTCCCCCCCACCCCCCCCAAAAAAACATCTTGTGACCTTAACCTTGTGGGTCTTGGCTTCTCTGCTGCCTCTGGTCTTAGGTTGCTCCACCAGGTGGCTATGATTGCAAACTGAACAAAGTTAAACATTTTTGCATTGATCTAGTTTATTTGTGTTGTTTAAGGTAGAAAAAGTTTATAGGCTGAGTGCCGTAGCTGTGCCTGTAATCCCTGCACTTTGGGAGGCTGAAGTGGGAGGATCACCTGAGCCCAGGAATTTGAGACCAGCCTAGATAACACAGTGACACCCTATCTCTACAAAAAATAAGAAAATTAGCTGAGCATGGTTGTGCCTGCCTGTAGTTCCAGCTTCTTGGGACGCTGAAGGGGGAAGATCATTTGAGCCCAGGAGGTTGAGGCTGCAGTGAGCCGTGATTGTGCCACCGCCTGAGTGACAGCAAGACATGTCTCAAGAGAAAAAAAAACAAAAACAGCAAAAGGTTGTAAAGTTCCCTAGAAATGTAGGACTAGATGTTAAATAATAATAAATGATTTATTTTGTTGGGTATGATAATTAAGTTCTCATCTGATAGGCGTGTATACTGAGATATTGGGAGGTGAAATCATTTGATTTCTGGGGTTTGCTTTACTAAAAGTAAAAATAAAGGGAATAGCTGAATGCTTCGGTAATGGTTATACATTCTTCCATCTACTTTTGTGTATTTTTGAAAATTTCCATAATAAGAAGTGGAGAGGAAAAGATCCCCTAGGTTACAGGCACTGAGCTATTAGCTGCTGTAGTCATTGTTGGATGGTGTCTGCGGAGAACTGAAACGTGTCAGGATTGGACCAGCACCTTTTCACATTTGGTCAGTGCAGGCGCCAGAAAGCCATACCTTCTCCATGCTGACCTGATGTGGACACAAATGTGTGTCTGTATAACTGAAATGAAAGTTTACTTTAACGGTCTGATTTTTTAATTGTTTTTTTTTTTTTCCATTAAAACTGATGGTCATGGCTGGGCGCAGTGGCTCACACCTGTAATCCTAGCACTTTGAGAGGCTAAGGCAGGCAGATCACCTGAGGTCAGGAGTTTGAAACCAGTCTGGCCAACATGGTGAAACCCCATCTCTATGAAAAATACAAAAATTAGCTGGTGTGTGGTGTGGGTGCCTCTAACTCCAGCTACCTGTGAGGCTGAGGCAGGAATATCTCTTGAACCCGGGTGGTGGAGGTTGCAGTGAGCCGAGATCGTGCCACTGCACTCCAGCCTGGGTGACAGAGTGAGACTCTGCCTCAAAACAAACAAAAAAACCCCTGGTGGTCATGACCCACTAAACGGACTCTATAACTGTCCCAAGCCATACTTGGGTTAAGAAGGTGAATTGGACCTGCTGTGTTTTGTTTTATCTTTCCTCTTGGGTAGCTAGCACAGCGATTTTTGGATGGCAGCTTGGTAACTCAGGGTCAGGAGGCTGGAGAAGCTGGCAGGAGGTGCCCAGCAGAGAACCTAAGGCAGCCAGTAGATGAGGCCACTATTGGCAACATAAGGCTGGTTACTCTTCTGTCTTGAGGAGTTACCATTTACATAGTATGTATTTATTAATTTTCAACATAGAGTCAGATTCTGTCATAATTTAGATTCAGAAAGCACATCAGAACCTTCGA